TCCATCCTCCCTGCATCCCATCCTCCCGCATCCCATCCTCCCTGCATGCCATCCTCCCTGCATCCCATCCTCCCTGCATCCCATCCTCCCTGCATCCCATCCTCCCTGCATCCCCTCCTCTCCTGCATCCCATCCTCCCTGCATCCGCATCCTCCCTGCATCCATCCTCCCTGCATCCCATCCTCCCTGCATCCCATCCTCCCTGCATCCCATCCTCCCTGCATCCATCCTCCCGCATCCCATCCTCCCTGCATCCCATCCTCCCTGCATGCCATCCTCCCTGCATCCATCCTCCCCGCATCCCATCCTCCCTGCATCCATCCTCCCTGCATCCCATCCTCCCTGCATCCATCCTCCCTGCATCCCATCCTCCCTGCATCCTCCTCCCTGCATCCCATCCTCCCTGCATCCCATCCTCCCTGCATCCCATCCTCCCTGCATCCCATCCTCCCTGCATCCATCCTCCCTGCATCCCATCCTCCCGCATCCATCCTCCCTGCATCCATCCTCCCTGCATCCCATCCCTGCATCCCATCCTCCCTGCATCCCATCCTCCCTGCATCCTCCTCCTGCATCCCATCCTCCCTGCATCCCATCCTCCCTGCATCCCATCCTCCTGCATCCATCCTCCGCATCCCATCCTCCCTGCATCCCATCCTCCCTGCATCCCATCCTCCCTGCATCCCATCCTCCCTGCATCCCATCCTCCCTGCATCCATCCTCCCTGCATCATCCTCCCTGCATCCCATCCTCCCTGCATCCCATCCTCCCTGCATCCCATCCTCCCTGCATCCATCCTCCCTGCATCCCATCCTCCCTGCATCCCATCCTCCCTGCATGCCATCCTCCCTGCATCCCATCCTCCCTGCATCCCATCCTCCCTGCATGCCATCCTCCCTGCATCCCATCCTCCCTGCATCCCTCCTCCCTGCATCCCATCCTCCCTGCATGCCATCCTCCCTGCATCCCATCCTCCCTGCATCCCATCCTCCCTGCATGCCATCCTCCCTGCATCCCATCCTCCCGCATCCCATCCTCCCTGCATGCCATCCTCCCTGCATCCCATCCTCCCTGCATCCCATCCTCCCTGCATCCATCCTCCCTGCATGCCATCCTCCCTGCATCCCATCCTCCCCGCATCCCATCCTCCCTGCATGCCATCCTCCCTGCATCCCATCCTCCCTGCATCCCATCCTCCCGCATCCATCCTCCCTGCATCCCATCCTCCCCGCATCCCATCCTCCCTGCATGCCATCCTCCCTGCATGCCATCCTCCTGCATGCCATCCTCCCTGCATCCCATCCTCCCTGCATCCCATCCTCCCTGCATCCCATCCTCCCTGCATCCCATCCTCCCTGCATGCCATCCTCCCTGCATCCATCCTCCCTGCATCCCATCCTCCGCATCCATCCTCCCTGCATCCATCCTCCCTGCATCCCATCCTCCCTGCATCCATCCTCCCTGCATCCATCCTCCCTGCATCCCATCCTCCCTGCATCCATCCTCCCTGCATCCCATCCTCCCGCATGCCATCCTCCCTGCATCCCATCCTCCCGCATCCCATCCTCCCTGCATCCATCCTCCCTGCATCCCATCCTCCCTGCATCCATCTCCCTGCATCCATCCTCCCTGCATCCCATCCTCCCTGCATGCCATCCTCCCTGCATCCCATCCTCCCTGCATGCCATCCCTCCCTGCATCCATCCTCCCGCATCCCATCCTCCCTGCATCCCATCCTCCCTGCATCCCATCCTCCCTGCATGCCATCCTCCCTGCATCCCATCCTCCCTGCATCCCCTCCTCCCTGCATGCCATCCTCCCTGCATCCCATCCTCCCTGCATCCCATCCTCCCGCATCCCATCCTCCTGCATCCCATCCTCCCTGCATCCCATCCTCCCTGCATGCCATCCTCCCTGCATCCCATCCTCCCTGCATCCCCTCCTCCCTGCATCCCATCCTCCCTGCATGCCATCCTCCCTGCATCCCATCCTCCCCGCATCCCATCCTCCCTGCATGCCATCCTCCCTGCATCCCATCCTCCCTGCATGCCATCCTCCCTGCATCCCATCCTCCCTGCATCCCTCCTCCCTGCATCCCATCCTCCCTGCATGCCATCCTCCCTGCATCCCATCCTCCCTGCATCCCTCCTCCTGCATGCCATCCTCCCTGCATCCATCCTCCCTGCATCCCATCCTCCCGCATCCCATCCTCCCTGCATCCCATCCTCCCTGCATCCCATCCTCCCTGCATGCCATCCTCCCTGCATCCCATCCTCCCTGCATCCCATCCTCCCTGCATCCATCCTCCCTGCATGCCATCCTCCCTGCATCCCATCCTCCCTGCATCCCATCCTCCCTGCATCCATCCTCCCTGCATCCCATCCTCCCTGCATCCCATCCTCCCGCATCCCATCCTCCCTGCATGCCCATCCTCCCTGCATCCCATCCTCCCTGCATGCCATCCTCCCTGCATCCATCCTCCCTGCATCCCATCCTCCCTGCATCCATCCTCCCTGCATCCCATCCTCCCTGCATCCCATCCTCCCTGCATCCCATCCTCCCTGCATCCATCCTCCCTGCATCCCATCCTCCCTGCATGCCATCCTCCTGCATCCCATCCCCTGCATCCCCTCCTCCCTGCATCCATCCTCCCTGCATCCCATCCTCCCTGCATCCCATCCTCCCCGTCCCATCCTCCCTGCATGCCATCCTCCCTGCATCCCATCCTCCCTGCATGCCATCCTCCCTGCATCCCATCCTCCCTGCATCCCTCCTCCCTGCATCCATCCTCCCTGCATGCCATCCTCCCTGCATCCATCCTCCCCGCATCCCATCCTCCCTGCATGCCATCCTCCCTGCATCCCATCCTCCCTGCATGCCCATCCTCCCTGCATCCCATCCTCCCGATCCCATCCTCCCTGCATCCCATCCTCCCTGCATCCCATCCTCCCTGCATGCCATCCTCCCTGCATCCCATCCTCCCTGCATCCCATCCTCCCTGCATCCATCCTCCCTGCATCCCATCCTCCCTGCATCCCCTCCTCCTGCATCCCATCCTCCCTGCATGCCATCCTCCCTGCATCCCATCCTCCCTGCATCCCCTCCTCCCTGCATGCCATCCTCCCTGCATCCCATCCTCCCTGCATCCCATCCTCCCCGCATCCCATCCTCCCTGCATGCCATCCTCCCTGCATCCCATCCTCCCTGCATGCCATCCTCCCTGCATCCCATCCTCCCTGCATCCCCTCCTCCCTGCATGCCATCTCCCTGCATGCCATCCTCCCTGCATCCCATCCTCCCGCATCCCATCCTCCCTGCATCCATCCTCCCTGCATCCCATCCTCCCTGCATGCCATCCTCCCGCATCCCATCCTCCCTGCATGCCATCCTCCCTGCATCCCATCCTCCCTGCATGCCATCCTCCCTGCATCCCATCCTCCCTGCATCCCATCCTCCCTGCATCCCATCCTCCCTGCATCCCATCCTCCCTGCATCCATCCTCCCTGCATCCCATCCTCCCTGCATGCCATCCTCCCTGCATCCCATCCTCCCTGCATGCCATCCTCCCTGCATCCCATCCTCCCGCATCCCATCCTCCCTGCATCCCATCCTCCCTGCATCCCATCCTCCCTGCATGCCATCCTCCCTGCATCCATCCTCCCTGCATCCCATCCTCCCTGCATGCCATCCTCCCTGCATCCCATCCTCCCTGCATCCCCTCCCTGCATCCCATCCTCCCTGCATGCCATCCTCCCTGCATCCCATCCTCCCTGCATCCCCTCCTCCCTGCATGCCATCCTCCCTGCATCCCATCCTCCCTGCATCCCATCCTCCCATCCCATCCTCCCTGCATCCATCCTCCCTGCATCCCATCCTCCCTGCATCCATCCTCCCTGCATCCCATCCTCCCTGCATCCCCTCCTCCCTGCATGCCATCCTCCCTGCATGCCATCCTCCCTGCATCCCATCCTCCCGCATCCCATCCTCCCTGCATCCATCCTCCCTGCATCCCATCCTCCCTGCATCCCATCCTCCCCATCCCATCCTCCTGCATGCCATCCTCCCTGCATCCCATCCTCCCTGCATGCCATCCTCCCTGCATCCATCCTCCCTGCATCCCATCCTCCCTGCATCCCATCCTCCCTGCATCCCATCCTCCCTGCATCCATCCTCCGCATCCCATCCTCCCTGCATCCATCCTCCCTGCATCCCATCCTCCCTGCATGCCATCCTCCCTGCATCCCATCGTCCCTGCATCCCTCCTCCCCATGCCATCCTCCCTGCATCCATCCTCCCTGCATTCCATCCTCCCGCATCCCATCCTCCCTGCATGCCATCCTCCCTGCATCCCATCCTCCCTGCATGCCATCCTCCCTGCATCCCATCCTCCCTGCATCCCTCCTCCCTGCATCCCATCCTCCCTGCATGCCATCCTCCCTGCATCCCATCCTCCCCGCATCCCATCTCTGCATTGCCATCCTCCCGCATCCCATCCTCCCTGCATGCCATCCTCCCTGCATCCCATCCTCCCTGCATCCCCATCCTCCCTGCATCCTCTCCTGCATCCATCCTCCTGCATCATCGTCCCTGCATCCCTCCTCCCTGATGCCATCCTCCCTGCATCCCATCCTCCCTGCATCCCATCCTCCCCGCATCCCATCCTCCCTGCATCCCCTCCTCCCTGCATCCCATCCTCCCTGCATCCCATCCTCCCTGCATTCCCATCCTCCCTGGCATCCCATCCTCCCTGCATCCCATCCTCCCTGCCATGCCATCCTCCCGGCATCCCATCCTCCTGCATCCCATCCTCCCTGCATGCCATCCTCCCTGCATCCCATCCTCCCAGCATCCCATCCTCTCCTGCATCCCATCCTCCCTGCATCCCATCCTCCCTGCATCCCCGCCTCCTCCCTAACCCAGCTGCACCTGCCCTCCCAGCCCCATCCTCACCTGTCCCGGCCCGGCCCACCATCCCTACGTCATCCTCCTCGCATGCGCACCTGTCTGGCAGCCGCCACGTTGACAGCCAGGAACGTGTCTTCCTGCCGCGCGGTGGGCTGCAGCACACTCCACCCCGCTGTTCACGTCGATGGCCACCAGCGCCTCTGTCTCCTCTATCACCAGCGAGCCCCCGCCGGGCAGGGGCACGCTGTGGCAGGGGTATGGAGGCACAAGCAACACAAGGGAAGAGGGAAGGCGGTGCCCCGCACACTGTTCACGTCGATGGCCACCAGCGCGTCCGTCTCTTGTTCCACCAGGGAGGCACCGCCAGACAACGGGACACTGGCTTGGAAGCAGGGCATAGGAGATGGGAAGAAGGGCAAGGGGAAGAGAGGGGACGAGGGGCGGACCATGAGAGGGGCACACACCTCACGCTGATACCTACCACTACCTTGGTCTCCTCCACACACCACCAACCAGCGGTGCATGCCTCACCAGCGGTGCAGCGCGGAGTGCAGGGCGGGCTCGACGTTGAGGGCGTCGAAGATGGGCGCCGGAGACGAGTGCAGCTGTACACGCCCGCACAGCGCCGGCTGCATGCGCTGCAGGTGGCACTCCAGCTGAGCGGGCAGGGCGAGGCACGGGGGGAAGGGGAGTGGCAACACGATGGCAGCGCGGAAGCAGCGCCTCCACCATGGGCCGGTGGCGTGAGATGGCACGAGAGAGAGAGCAGGGCGGATGGAGATGGAGGGGGGGAGGGGGTGCGGGCAGTGATGCGCGGGAGAGAGGGGAAAGGGTGGTACCTCTTGGAGGAACGCTGGAGAGTCAACCACGAGTTGGGAGACCTGGTGGGCGGAGGAGGGGAGGGAAGAAGAGCGGGTGGGGCCAAGGGGAGGGTGGGGTGCGGAAAGGGCGTATGGCACAACAATGGGTCGTGGGCGGTGAATGCAGCCAGCTGTGGAGAATGAGAGGCAAGCGGAGAACAACAAGCAGGAAGGGCAGGGAATGCTGCAAGGAAGGGCAGGGGGGTGGGGGGGGGCTAAGTGGAGAAATACGCTTGGGCAGCCTAGCGTATTGCGTACATACGCTAGCGTATAATACGAATACGCTGTACGCTAGCTAAGTACGCAATACGCTAGCGTATTTCTTGGGGGGCAGCCCGGCAAGAAATACGCAAAAAACGATGCGACAAATTTGTGACATGACGAAACCCCACAGGGATTTCGCCATGTCGCAAACCGAAATTTGGCTTTTCAAATCGTCAACCCAACCCCTTCGCCCCTCCCAACCACACAGCATCCCACCCAATCTGTGACTTCCAAACAACACCCAAAGAAATCCCCTTCCTCTCCCTCTCTACTCTACTCCAGCAGGGTTCAGCGCAGTTCACTCCTACGACGAAATCAGGGTACAAGTAAACTGGCGCGCTAACTTCAGTCATTTCTTCTTCCAAGCTAGTGCGACTAGCTAGCTGGTTTTTTAGCGACTGTTGCTATGTCGAACCCTCCACCTAGTCCTGGTTCCCACGGAACCGACGTGGGAACCTCCTGTGCTGCGTCTTCCTCTGACGAGCTCCTGGAGAACTCTACCCACGCTATCTTTAAGCATTTCAAGTTTAAGCATAAGGAGCACCGCAAGCAGCAAAAGTATTGGTGCAAGTACTGCCCCGTATCCTTTACCGGGACGGCCTACCGCTGCGCACAGCACATCACTAGTTGGGATGGTATGCGTAGGCGCGAGGTTCGGAAATGCGAGGAGGTAGGGAAGGAGGAGCAGGCTGCCGTCCGCGCGTTCCAAACCGCCAAAGTGCTCGCGAGGGAGGAGGCGCATAGGGCGGAGGAGTCCGCCCTCGACGCCGTTAGTGGTCGGGGAAAGCGGAAGATCACCGATTACCTGTCCGATGACGCCCAAGCGGCCAAGGCGGCGGCGGACGAGGCTATTTGCCTCCTCTTTGCCGGCCTCCGCCTTCCCGAGCGCCATGCCGACCACCCGCTTTGGCGCAACGCCGTCCGGTCCATCGCGCGCGCGGGGACCAGCTATATGCCTCCAAAGCGCGACTACGTGGGTGGTGCCGGCTTGCAGCTATGCCGCAAGCGGATTGACGAGGGATTGACGGGCGTCATGTCGAGCTGGAAGCGCCACGGCGTGACGATTGCCAGCGACATGATGACCGACAAGTGTGGCAGGCCACAGGCGAATGTGATGCTGGTCAATGACACCGGCGCAGTGTTCGTCGAGAGTATTGACTGCAAGATGGAGAAAAAGACCGGGGGATACATCGCCCGGCTCCTCCGGCCCATCCTGCAAAAGGTTGGGGTCGAGAACATCGTGGCATTCTGCACCGATGGCGGCAGCAACTACCACAGCGCCTGCCGGCTCCTCATTGCAGAGAATCCGCGCATCGAGCATGTGCCGTGTGCGACGCACGTGCTCGACCTCCTTATGGAGGATGTGGGACGGCAGGCTTGGGCCAAGGAGGTAGTGGGGCGGGCGAGCGAGCTCATCAACTACACCCGCAGCCACCATTGGACCCGACAGTATCTCAGGGGTGTGGACGGAGGGAAGGGGCTGCAGATGCTGAGGCCGGCGGGGACCAGGTTTGGGACGCAGCACATTGCTGTGTCCCGCCTGGTGGAGTTGCGGTCAACGCTGGTGACCATGGTGCTCTGCGATGCATGGAAGGCGGAGTGGGCGGTGGGCCCAAAGAAGGCAGCTGCAGAGACATTCCACGACCAGATCATGGATAAGGACTGGTGGCCAGCGGCTGAGCTCTTCAAGAGGCTGCTCCTGCTCCCGTTCAAGGCCATGAGGGCGACGGATTCGGCAACGAAAGGGATGATGGGCCGCATCTATGAGCTGATGCTTGAGCTCACTGTGAATGTGGCAGAACTGCTGAAGGAGGAGGGGATGGGGTGCTGAGTGCGGGAGACAAGAAGGGCGTCAATGAGATTGTGAAGCGGCGTTGGGATGAGAGTATGGCTTGCCCACTGCACGTGGTCGGGCGGATTCTTAACCCGGTCAACCAGGAGGAGCGGATTTTTGGGCCGGACACGGAGTGCACCAATGTGTTCAAAGCTTTCATTGCCCGCCACTATGGCGGGGTGATGATTCCCCAGAGGGATGGCCTGCCCAAGCGTGCCACACTCCTCCTGCAGGAAGGGTTGGCCACCTTTCTGAAGTTGAGGGGCAGCTTCGGCACGGCTGAGGCCATCAGTGACCGGAAGTTGGTGAAGGAAGGAAGTTATTCCATGGAGGCGTGGTGGGAGTGGCACGGCACTGACCACCCCTTGCTCATGGCCCTTGCTTGCCGAGTGCTAACTCAGCCGGTGTCTGCATCCAGCTGCGAGCGCAACTGGGCGGTGTGGGATACTGTCCACACCGCCCGACGCAACCGGCTGGGTTCAGAAAAGTGCAAGGATCTGGTTTACGTTGCGCACAACTGGAAGGTTGTGCACAACTGGCACATGGCCGACGAGGGGGCGGGGGTGGTGTCCGGTAACATCCCGGACGCCCCCGTCCCTGCGGGGTACAGGGTGGATCGGGAGGAGGAGGATGAGGAGGGCGAAGATGAGGAGCTGCTGGACGAGTACCTGTAGAGCAGAGCAGGAGAGGGTTAGGCGGGCGGTTTGGGGGAGGCTTACCTGAGATGGGTGGTTGGCTGGTTGTTGGAGTTTGGAACCCTTGACATGCCCTTGGTGGCTTGAACTATTTATTTATTACCATGCTAAATGATGCCACATTTGGTGGGGGGAATTTGGTGCTCTGAACCCCCCCTCTTCCCTCCCCAAACAGGTTTTTTTTACCCCTGCCCGAGTTGTTTTTATACCTGCCCGCCAGAGCGTATTTCCTAGCGTATCCAATCCCATAATGAAACGTACAGCGTATATACGCTAGCGTATAATACGCTGGACGCGTATTTCTCCACTTAGGGGGGGGGGACACAGGGTGGGGGCTCGAGGGGGTGGAGAACACATGGTCGCGCCAAGGTTGGAGACTCGCCTTGGCGTGGTGCAGCAGCAGCGAGTGGATGGCGTCCAGCGCCATGGGCGTGCCCTGCATCAGCAGCGTGGGCCCCACCGCGCGCACCTCCGCCACGCTGCGCACGTGCCCCGCGGCGGCATGAGCGCGCGCCAGCACCTCCCGCCAGCGTGCCACCAGCTCCACCAGGTCCCCCGCCAGCTCGCCCTCTGCCCGCCCACCGCCGCCTGCCGCACCTGGTGGGACGGGAGGGGGGTGAGAGGGGGGAGAGGGGGAGAGGGGGAGAGGGAGAGGGGGAGAGGGAGAGGGAGAGGGGGAGAGGGGAGAGGGGAGAGGGGGGAGAGGGGAAGAGGGGGAAGGGGAGAGGGGAGAGGGGGAGAGGGGGAAGGGGGGAGAGGGGGGAGAGGGGGAGAGGGGAGAGGGAGGGGGAGAGGGAGAGGGGGAGGAGGAGAGGGAGGAGAGGGGGGAGAGGGGGAGAGGAGGGAGGAGGGAGGGGAGAGAGGGAGAGAGGGAGAGGAGGAGAGGGGGGAGAGGAGAGGGGAGAGGGGGAGAGGAGGGAGAGGAGAGGGGGAGAGGGGAGAGGGGAGGGAGGGGAGAGGGGAGAGGGGAGAGGGGAGAGAGGGAGAGGGAGAGGAGGGAGAGGAGGAGAGGGAGGGGGAGAGGAGGAGAGGGGAGAGAGGGGGAGAGGGTGAGAGGGGGGAGAGGGGTGAGAGGGTGCAGTGGGGTAATCGGAATGGAAAGGGGAGAGGGAAGGGAGTGGAAGAAATGCAAAGGCGCACAAGGCAGGTGGCAGGTAGTGGGACCTGGACGGAGAAGCACCTGGACGGAGAAGGAGCGGTTGGGCGCGAGGCGCGTGACGACAGCCTGGATGCGCGCTGCCTCCTCCGATGACACGCCTCGCGGCATCACCAGCCCCGACCCCCGCAGCACAGCCGCTGACGAGGGGGAGGGGAACAGGAGCGACAGGGTTTGACGCACTGAGGGGTTTGAGGGTGCTCGGGGTGCGTGCAGACACTGCTGTGCAAGAGCTTTCTCTCACCATGCAGCATGGTGGCACTCACAAAGCAGCGGCCTCAGCACGGGGAAAGCCCGGAGCACGGAGTCCTTGCCGCCGATGGGCCCTCGCACCACCTGCACCAGGATCAGCATCCCTGCCCGCACCTCCCCCCACTCCTCAAACGTCCTCCTCTCCTATCCTCCTCCTCCTCCTCCTCCTCCTCCTCCACCTCCCTCTCCTCCACCCTCTCCTCCATTCTGTCCCTCGCTCCTCCCTCACCCCCTTCCCCCCATATCGCCCCTCTCCACCGACCCCGCTCCTCCTCGCACGCGCTCTCTCCGCCCGCCTCGACTCCATGAGCTGGCGCCACGTCAGCGACCACGCAGCGGAACGTCGGCTCCTGGGCTGACCTCTGGAGGCGGGGATCACTCGCAGCCGCCGCCGCCCAGCCTGCCGCCCGCCTGGTAGGGCGCCATGCCACCCCCACCAGCCCACCCCCCAGCAGTGCACCGCTTGTTGACTCATCCCTCGCTGATTGCGACTGCCAGCGCCCATCCACCCATTCCCCCCTTCCCCCTCTCCCCTCACCGCCCCTCTTTCTGCCCCCCCTTGCCTGCTCCGCCCACTTCCCTCCCTTCCGCTTCCCCCAAGCCTTCCCCCCAGCCCTTGCTTCCAGCGCCCTCCTTCCCCCGCTGCCCCTTGCTGCTGCTTGCCCCCGCTTCCTCCTCCCCCTGGCGCTGGCAGGGGGCGGGGGGGAGGGGGGCAGGGAGTTGAGCTGCTGGGAGAGGAGGCGGAGTAGCGCCGGCGGGGAGGGGGAGAGCGGCAGGGGCAGGGTGGCAGCGAGAGAGCAGCGGGCGGTTGAATGGCCGCCGCAGGGGGGGAGACTGCTCCTGCCCGCCTCTCCTGCTCCTGCTGCCTCTCCTGCTCCTGTTGCCTCTCCTGCTGCTGGCTTGTCTTGAGCTGCTGCGGCTGCATCATTGCCTCCTGCTCGGCCCTCTCCCTCCTCTCCTCTCCCTCCCCTTCCTCCCCTTGCTCCTCATTCGCCTCGCTCTCTTCGCTCTCCTCGCTCTCCTCCTCTGCAGCATCCGCGTCTCTCCTGCTCGCACGCCCCTTCCTCTCCTCCGACCAAGTGCTGCCGCTGCTGCTGTCAGCGCTGCTGCTGCGTCTGCTGCTGCGAAGGGTACTAGTGAGGGCAGCACAGGGGTGCGGTCAGCAGGAGAGCGGCGAGGGTCGGCGGTGGAGGCGGAAGGGAGGGTCTGGGGTTGAGCGACACAGGGGTGGTGGGAGGCACGGGGTGGTAAGAGTGCGGAGGGGGGGCGGTTTCAGCAGACAACGCCTCAAGAGGGAGGGAGAGGAGGGAGGGGGCTGGGTGGGAAGGGGGTGTGCGGATGCGAGGGGTGGGGGTGGAGGCGGGGGTGGGGACGGCGGGGATGGGGCAGGAGGGGGGAGCGGGCGGGCGTGCAGGGAGAGGGAGAGGGGTGTGGACGCATGGGACGCCAGGTGCTCGTTCGATGGTGCCTGGTCTCTTGACAGTGTTTGTTCCTTCGACAGTGTTTGGTCGTTCGGGAGTGGCTGGTCGTCCGGCGGTGTTTGGTCGTTTGGAGGAGTGTGGGCGTTAGAGTCGTTGGTGTGGAGATGGGAGCTGGTCTCTGCCGCCTCTACCACGTCATCCCCTGCCCACTCTCCCTCCTCTACCACGTCATCCCCTGCCCACTCTCCCTCCTCTGCCTCGTCATCCCCTGCCCACTCTCCCTCCTCTACCCTCCCATCGTCCACCGGCTCTTCACGTGCCTTCTGCTCCTCTTGCCCATTCGTCTCCTCCTCCTCCCTTTCCTCCCCATTCTCATCCTCCTCCTCATCCTCCTCCTCCTCGTCCTCCTCCTCCTCCCACCGCTCATGACCATGTTCCTTCCGCTGCCGCTTCTTCACCTTCTTCTTTCGCCGCCTCTCATCAGTTCTCTCCCTTTCGTCCTCCTCCCTTTCGTCCTCCTCCCCTTCATCCTCCTCCCCTTCATCCTCCTCCCTTTCATCCTCCTCCCCTTCATCCTCCTTTGCATCCTCCTCCTCTTCTTCATCCGTCCCTCGGTCCTCAGTCCCACCCTCCTCAACCCCCTCCTCAATATCCCCCTCCTCAACCCCCTCCTCAATATCCCCCTTCACCTGCTCCCACGCCTCTCCCTCGTCCTCACGCTCTCCTAAGACTTCCCTTGCTGCCACTGCGTGCCACCAGCACCAGCACCAGCACCAGCACCAGCTCCAGCACCAGCACCAGCACCAGCACCAGCATGAGCATCATCTCTGCTTTCGTCCTCTTCCTCCTCCTCTTCCTCCTCCTCTTCCTCCTCCTCTTCCTCATCCCCTTCCTCTTCTTCTTCCTCCTCTTCTTCTTTCTCCCCATCTTCGACTTCCGCCTCCTCTTCTGCTATCTCCTCCTCTATACCTTCCTCCTCATCCTCCCACTCACGCTCTTCATCCTCCTCTTCACATTCCTCCCCTCCCCTCCACCATCATCATCACATCATCATCATCATCATCATCATCATCATCATCATCATCATCATCATCATCATCATCATCATCATCATCATCATCATCAGCATCATCATCATCATCATCATCATCATCATCATCATCATCATCATCATCATCATCATCATCATCATCATCATCATCATCATCATCATCATCATCATCATCATCATCACCATCACCATCACCATCACCATCACCATCATCATCATCATCATCCCGCTCATCCTCGTCCGTCGCTTGCTTGCCTGCCAGCGCCACCACCCCTGCCACCCCTCGGCGCATCACTGCACCCCCATCCCTCCCCACTCGCCCCTCCCCAGCGCCATGCCATGCCCCCGCCCGCTATCAAGTACTCCCTCCCCCCCGCTGCAACGGCCTCGCCAACTGACTCTGCACCTGCCTCGCCAATGGAGTCCGCAACTACAACCGCGCCCAAGCCTGCGCCCATGCCTATACCCATGCCTGCATCTGTCTCTGTGCCTGCGCCTGCCAGCACGGCCGCCTCGCTCCACGCGCGGTGAGCGCAGCGCCGCCGTCCCCGGTGGGCGGGAAGGTGAGCGGGCGGTCGTTGTGCGCCAGGTTCAGCACGAGGCGCCGCGCCGCCAATGTCCACAAAGCGGCGGACATGCGGGGTGCAGCGAGCGGATGACGCCCAGGTATGTCGCCCACGCGCACCGCCGAGGGCGCACGAGGGCGGGGGGAAGGGGCAGGGAAAGGGGCTGCTGGGTGCAGCGTGGTGCAGCGGTGGGCGCTGGTGGTGGCGGCGAGGGACAGGTGGAGAGAGCGATGCATCAGGAGTGGTAGGGAGGGAGGGAGAGGAGAGGAGGGAAGGCGGAGGGCGAAGGCAGCGAGTGGAGGTGGAGCGTGGTGGCGACGATGAGCTCCACGAGGCGGCCGTCCTCCAGCACGGCCACGCGCTGCAGCCCACTGCCGAGCAGTTCACGTAGATCGCCACGCCCGCCGCTGACGCAACTGAGAGCGGTGGGATGTGAATGATGGGACGCTGGTGCTGGTGCTGGTGCTGGTGCTGGCGCCTGTGCGGATGGTGGTGTTGCTGCGGGCGTGCAGCGGAGGAGGAGCCTTTGGTGGATCTCTCTTACCGCGCCGTTGGCCCCATGGCGTCAGCAGCAGCGGCGCCTTGAGTGCCTGCAGCATGTCGGCGGACACCATCCCCACCGCGCCCCCTCCCGCCTCGCCCTGCCCTCTTGTCTCCCACCGCGCCCTCCCTCGCCCCACTCCCTTCTTCCGCCTCCCCCCCCACCCTCCATTGCCCCTTGTTCCACTGCTCCTTCTGCCCCCACTGCCTGCACCAACCCCTCCTCCTTTCCTCCTCCTCCTCCTCCTCCTCCCTCCTCCTCCTCCTCCTCCTCCTCCTCCTCCTCCCCCGTCTGCCGCACCACTCCGCCCATCTCTCCCCTCCTCCTTCTCCTCTCCTCCTTCTCCCTTCCTCCTCGCCTCCGCTCTGCCTCGCGCGCGCCTCCTCCTCTCGCTGCTGTGCCTCCGCACAGCAGACAGCGCCGACACAGCAGCCATGCGCAGCCGCCATGCACCGCTGCCGCTGCTGCTGGGGGTGCTGGGGGTGGTGCTGCCGCTGCTGTTGCCACTGGGCTGTCCTCGCTGTGCCAGCACTTGGACCCAGTCACGAGAGGGCCACCATCCAAGGCGCCTGCGCTGCTGCTGCCCCCTGCCCCATCGCCCTGCCCTTGCTTCCTCTTGCCACGTCAGACGCCACGCGAGCTCCAGTGCCACGTCATTCCGTCCAGCCTTCCCTTCACACGTCCAACTCTCCACCTGCCTGGCTACCACCGCGCCCACTGCCCTTCACCCTCCTCTAAATCCTCTTCCACCCCACCTCCTCCCTCCTCTTCACCTCCTCCCAATCTCCTTCCCCTCTTCCTCTTCCCCTGCTCGCCCTCCCACGTCACCTGCCACGCCCTCCTCGCGCCCTCCTTCACGCCATTTTCCGCGCGCCGTCCCTTCTCACGCCGCACCACCACCGCTCCTACACTTCCTCCGCCAAGCTCTCTCCCCCCTTCCCCCCTCCCCCTCCTCATCCCCTGGCATCCCTCTCCCAGAGCTCACTGCGCCTTCCCACTCTCCGCCATTCTTCTGTCCCCGCCCCAGCCTGCTTCCGCAACGCGCGCCCTTTCCGCTTCCCCAGGCCAGTCCTCCTCCAAATCCCCCTCCACTTCCCCTCCACTTCCGCCTCTAAACCTCCGCCTCCGCGCCATGAACCCTCCGCCCCTGTGCCCCCTCCCGTTCCCCCGCTCCGCTCCTGTTTCCCCTGTACTGCGCACACCTTCCGCCATCTCCGCTTCCCCGCCCCGCTTTCGTGCGCCAAGGCGGAGCTTCCGCCGATGCGACCAGAGGAGGGAAGCCAGACAGCAGGCGCGCGGCAACCACCTTCTGGGCATCGTGCCTGATTGGGCCGCAATTCGCGGCGATTTGCGCAAGAGGCGAGAGGTGAGGTACTAGAGGGGTGGCCGCCGGCGACAGCGTGGGGAATGGGAATGGGAATGGAGATTGAGCAGTCCATAGCGGCGTGGGACGCGCGGGAACGGGCGGAGGCGCGCCACGGCATGCTGCGACGGCTGGTCGGCGCGCATACTGCAATCGGCGGCGCTTGAGCTGCTGGCTGACTGTGATTCGCTGGGGAGGGCGCGATTGATTTGAGTGTGATTGGTGGGGTGGTGGGGCAAAACGCTCCTAACTCGATATGGAAAGGATCTGAAATCTGCAAACATCCCTATAAATTCAGATTGGTACACTTTCGTATTCAGTAAAACAAATCAAAAACTGTCTCAGCGAGTTCCCGACAGTCGTCAGCGTTTTCGGCGGTTCCGTTGTCTCTCATGCCGTCGCAAAAGTTCGCAGCTGATCCTCCTGCCACACCGATCAGACTTGAGCCAAGCACTTGATCATCGTGCGTGCTTCACCCGTTCTCTTCACTCGAAGCATGATGCCTTCTAGGTTGATCGTTAGTGGTGCCGCATCCACCCACGAGGTTAGCCGACGCACATGATCCACCGGCCTCCGCATGGCTGGCGCCGCGCCCCGACGCGCGATTCACTGATGCCTCGCGCCGCGCCCTCCTGCACGCCCTTCCGCCTGCTCGCCGTCGCCGTGCTCTCGCTGCTGCACCTCCGCCTCTTCCTCGCGCGCTACTTCCCCACCCCCCGCACCCTTCCGCGATTGCCCCGATACCGCGCGGACGTCGCCGCGTTGCGGTCAACCCTCCGCAAGTGCCAGGGGGAGCTCGTGCGCCGCCGGCAGGTTGCGCGGAGTGCTTATAACGATGCCTCGGCGGCCGGAGGATCTGGACGAGCGGTGGCTCGCGGAGAGCGCAGTCTCCGCCGTGACTCTCGGCGCTGGGCCGGCGGGGAGGCGGCGCAGGTTTGCTTTCCGCGGATACGCGCGGAGCGGGGACGCGCATCTGACTCGCTTGCGCGCGGACAGGCTGAGCGTGTGCGGCGCGTCTGACGCGGAGCTGAGCAGTTCCTGCGCTTCTCTCCGCACGCCACGTGTCCGACGACTGGGAGCTCGCCACCGCCTCCGCTTCTCCGACCACTGCCACGTCATCCCTCCCGCGCGTGCCTCTCCGCCATCCCCCCTGACCCCGTGGAGCCCCCGCCACATCGGAGGCGCTGTGGACGCCGCTGGACGGGCGCAGCGTGCGGTGGGAGCGTACGGCTGCGCTGACGTGGCGTGCATCGAGCGCAAGCTGGCAGCCTTTGCTTCAGCCGCTGCTGCTGATGCTGCAGCTGTAGCGGCTGTAGCTCGAGAGGTCAACTCAGCCTGGACCCCTACCCTGGGAGAGACGCGAGGGGAATGGAAGGAGGCGGGAGGGGAAGGGCGGAGCGGGAGACAGGGTGGGGGGAAAGGGAGCAGAGAGGAGCGGGTGCGACAGGACGGGTGGGCTGCTGGCGCGCATGCTTCCAGTTCACACGACCCTCCGCCAGCACTGGCGCGGTAGCAGCGGCAGCAGCCGCTGTCCGTGGTGCACATGGCAGGGGCGGACGGAGGGCACTGGAGAGGAGTTCCACATCCGCCATCTCATGCGCCTCAAAGGGGCGGCCTGGACTGGGCTGACTTGGGCGCGGAACAGGGCAGTTTGCTGCCAGATGGCGCTGCACAATGTGACGGTGCTCACTGCACAGTCCAACGTGATTGGCCACAGTGACGCCTGGCAGTGGCCCTCAGGCAATGCTGCTGCTGACGCTGCCGTTACCACCAGCATCGGGGCAGCCGCAGCAGCGGTATGAGTGGTGCCAGTGGCAGCAGCAGCAGCAGCAGCAGCAGCAGCAGGGTGGCAGTGCCATTCCAGGAGGCCCTGGCGTGGCGGGGCCTGTTGGGTCTGGACATGCCTCTGACGGCGCGCCTGCCGCTGTTTGACGCCTCGCTGGACCTCATCCACGCCTCTGGCACCACAGGCCCCGCGCTGCTGCAGGGGTGGACGCCCTGCCGCCCAGGGACTTCCAGCTCGCATTGTTCGACTGGCATCGTGTGCTGAGGCCGGGCGGCATTCTTTGGCTGGAGGCGATAGAGCACAGTGCGGATGCCATGGCGCTGTTCGAGGCAGCGCTGGAGATGCTGGCGTACCGTGCTGTGTATGTGAGGAAGCTGGATGCTGTGGTGGGGGGGCACGGCACAGGCATGTGCAGAGACTGTGGGTTGTCTTGGAGAAGCCAATGAAGGGGATGGATGCGGACAGTTTGGGCAGTCGTGGGAAGAGAGGGCGAGCAAGCAGACAAGTGCACTCATTTGATCCAAATGTTCTTACCTTGATGAGCTAGCTATATGTCAAACATGTTTATCTACAATGTTTGTATAGACTGTGTTGGGCTGAAAAAGCCCTTGGGATCTTTCCAGAGACAAAGTCCCAGCTGTGGAGACTTGAGACTTTGAGTAGTGCAGCGGAAGTTGAGGCAGTTGAACCCTTGTACTAGTATGTGAGAACAAGTGATAATAAAAAGGCAAACATACAGCAATATATAGAAGATAAGAAACAGTTGTGAGTACAGTTGCAGTAACGGTTTATCGAGTCGTACAGCGACTCGATTGCGCTTCGGTTACCATCCGTGCTGTTGTAACGGTCAGTCGCAACCTCCAGTTGCGACCCTTTGAGTCCCATTCGTGTTCTTTGTCCGCCCCCTCGTGTAACCTCCGTTGACTCGCGTACCCCTTGCAATCTTCCTCGATGTAGTGTTACACTTCAGAAACGCTTAAGTCTTTTGAGTATTTCAACACTCCCCTTCGTTTCTGGAGTGCTGACTTGTTCAGGTCCGGTGACGTTTGTTTGCCGGTCAGCAGATGCAGTAGTCGAATTTTGCTTTCGCCAATTTCTTCGTCAAATAGTCTGCGGCCATTTCTGTCGTCGGGCAGTAACTGAGTTGAAGTCTCCCCTTCGCGATTTCATCTTGACGAAGAAGTACCGCAGGGCGATGTGCTTGGTTCGGTTGGCGAAGCCGTCCTTGTTTGCGATTTTGATCGCAGATTGGTTGTCGCAGAAGTGAGAAGGCGGGCAGGGTCGCGATCTTCGCTTCCTCGAGTAACTCTCGCAGGTAGAGTCCTTCCTTGGTCGCAGTACAAAGGGCGATATACTCTGCTTCAGCCGAGGATAGTGCGATTAACTCCTGCTTGCTCGACTGCCAGGAGATAGTTCCGATGGTTCTAGTCGGTAGATGTAGCCCGTCCTAGATCGTCGATTTTCCTGTCTCCCGCGTGGTCGGCGTCGACGTATCCGAGTAGTTGTACGGACGGTGTTGTCGCTTTGCTGTAGGTAAGTCCGATCGTCGGCGTGGAGACGAAGTAGAGTAGTGCCCGGTTGAGTTCCTCGAGATCTTCCTGTTCCGGTTGCTTCAGATGCGTCGCCAGTTGACTCGCACTATAGGACAGGTCGGGTCGGCAGGTTACTGCTGCGAATAGTAGGCAGCCGAGCTTCTGTTGATACTCCTGGATTTGCTTCGCGGGGAGTTTTGCGGAGGCGCTGTTGTTGTTTCCGTAGCGGTAGGGAGTTGGGACCGTAGTCGGCGTTAGTCCGAATTTCTTCGCGACAGTGCCTGCGTACTTTCCAGCGTGTAGGTAGAACGCCGAGTTGTCTTCGACGACATTTAGTCCCAGTACTGGGTCACTGAGTCGGACACCGTGAGCGTCAGGTCCCTTTCAGCTCCCCTTCGAACCAGGTGACGATGTCGGTGGTAGAACCGATGTAGAGCAGGTCGTCGACGTAGACGATGAGCAGAATGTAATCTCTTCCCTTCTGCAGTCGGTACATGCCTTGGTCATGTGGTAACTGTAGGAATCCGATTTTTACGAGCGGCCGTGAAGGTGCTGCTGCCAGAGCCGTGGGGCTTGCTTGATCCCGTAAAGGGATTTTTCCAGCTGGCATACTTTTGAAGGGTCGTCGATGAATCCGTGGGGTTGTTCGACGAAGATTTCGGCGTCCACAGGTGCGTACAAGAAGGCGTTTGCGACGTCGATTTGCCGTAGTGGTAGTTTCTTCGTGGCCGCGACGGCGAGTAGGATGCGCAGGAGGTGTGACGGGAGACTGGGCGAAGGTTTCTGTGTAGTCGGTTCCGTATCGTTGATCGAAGCCTCGTACGACCCATCGAGCGCTTTAATCGTTCGATGGAGCCGTCCGCGTTGGTCTTATGCGGTACACCCATTTCCCCGAGAGAATGTTCTTCCCGTTGGTTGTTGCAGGTACCAGTTTCCATGTTTCCGGTCTTGCAGAGCTTTTAACTCTTTTTCCATCGCTTCCTTCCATTCGCCTTATGTTCCCCCCCAGAGCCTGCGACAGGTCGAAGGCTCGCGCGGAGAAGGCGGCGGCGGGTGCTGGACGGAGACCCATAGTCCTAGGATCTGCAGTCCCGTGGCTGTGTGTCGAGGGGAATTTTCATTCCCGGATAAGCTGCTTCATCACCGTCTTCAGGATCGGGTAAGAAGTTTGGCCCGATGCGTTCGAAATATTCGAGTCGACGGGGTGTGGTGTAGCGTAGCCTTGGTCAGCGAAGTGGTAAAAGGTGTCGAGGTTGTTGCTATCGAGGGGATTATCTTCATCGAGTGGAACAGGTACGGAGCAGTAGGGAGTGGTCCGGCAGCCTCCGAGGCTCCAGGGACGTCTTCTTCTGCTGCGTCAGCCTCGGCAGCATGGTCAGCGAAGGAGCGAAGGCCCGCGAAGCCGTCGGTGGGGTCGTCTGAGTTGGCAATGTTGTCCAGGTAATGCTGCAGCGTCAGTCGCTCGTAGAAGATAACATCACGTGATGCCACCGTATTTTTGTCTTGTATGTCGAGAATCTTCCACGCGTGAAAATGTTTGGCGATGCCGAGGTGTAGTCCCCACCGAGCTCGTTGAGTGAAGCGTCCTGCTCGAGCTGTGTGGGGTCTGTATTGTACCATGCAGCCGAAAACTCGAAGTAATTTTGTGCTGCCCCTTTTTCCCGTCCACAGCAGGTGTGGTGATGCGTTGTTGGGAGCGATGACGAGGACAACAGGTTGTGCAGGTGGACTGCATGTGTCATCGCGTCTGGCCACAGTGTGTTGGGCAGTCATCCCCAGAGCAGTTTCGCATCGTCGTCTGCAAGGTCCGGTTCATGCGTTCTGCGACCCCCTGCTGCTGGTGAGCGTAGGTAGGACACCAGGCGTCTGATTCCTCTTTCCGCCAGATAGGTCCTGAAGCGTTGTGACTGGTATTCCAGTGCACCGTCTGACTGGAAACTCTTGAGCTTGGTTCCTGATTCGTTCGGCGATGGGAGCCATGTTGTGAAGGCGTCGAAGGCTTGATCGCGCGTCTTGAGATTGAATGCCAACGTATCTGTTGCTGCGTCGATGAAGTGATGACGTAGTTGAAGTCGGCTTCGTGTCGTCTCGAGGCATGTTTAAGATGTCGCTGTAGACTTTTTCCATCGGCGTATGCAGGCGCGCTTGGATTGTGATGGATGGGAAAGGTTGATGAGGAAGATCTGCTTCGGGGCACGTGAAGCACCGTGCGCGGTCGTCGAAGTTCTTGGCCGTTCGTTGTTAGAAGGGCGTTGCGTTCTAACACTTCGCTTGGATTGTTTGTAGTATTGTGCTGTTTGCAGGGTGCCGAGGCGTTGGTGCCAGATGTCGTCGGGAGCGCGATGACCGGGCGAGCGGTGGTATTGTCGGCGTTGGAGAAGAACGCGACGACTGAGGCGGGACTTCGACAAGCTTCTCGTGTGATGGGCATAAGTTGGTCTGCTTCGGTTGGCGGTCCTCGGATGCGGTGGTACTCGGCTGGTCCTGCTGATACTGCAGGTGATGGTTGGGGACGCTTGTGGTACTTGTCTTTCTTGTCTGATAACTGCTAATGCTCGTGTTCTTCTGCTGCAGGTATGGTGTTGGAGTGCCAGAAGCCGTCACTGTCGAAGTCGGGATCAAGATCCGGCGGGTGTCCAGGCGGCGAACGATACGATACCGTCGCTGTCGGCAGTACCGCGGTCGGGGACGAAGTCCAACACGAAGACACCGGACTTCAGGAGGGCACGACCGATGAAGAGGCCGCCCTTCCCGTGGTAAAGCGGAACTCGTTGGAGAAGGAGTCGCACTCCAGGTGAATCCCCTTGGCCATTAGTTGGCTTACGCTTAGTAGGTTGTATCCCAGTTGTCGACGATGAGGACTTTGTTGAGCTGAAGTATCGTTTGTCTCCATGGATTGTAACTGAACCACGCCTTGTCTGTTTGTCTTCAGGTTTTCGTTGTTGGCGACGGTGATGACGACGTCGCGGTTGAGGCCGTTTTCCTGTTGCACGAAGCGTCCGAGGAGCACATGTGTTGACCGCAGCAGCTGTCCAAGAACCAGGTGTTTCGCCCGGTGGGTTCGGCGTTGGCGACCGCAGCGTATGTCGGGTTGACTGAAGTCCTTGTGAGCGCGGTGGCGGGAATCTTCTTCGTCTGGCGCGTAAGTGGGTGGTGAGCGGGTGCGCAGTTGTCGATGTGTACCATGCAATTGATAATGTTTGGTGTTGTTGTGCAGATGTTGAAGAGCGCCTTGGGGACTTGCTTGAGTGGAAGCGACTTGTGGGTCTGCTGGACGGTAAACGCGAGGGCGGTTGCAGTTGACCTTGGAGTGCCCGGAAGTCTGACAGTTGTGGCAGAACGGCGGCACGATGGTAGTCCTCTGTTGTCGCGTCTTGCTTGCTGCGTCGATTGTAGTGTTGTCGTTTCTTCGTTGAGTGTAGAAGACTAACTGCTGTTGCTTCCTTGGTTGTCTTTCTTCGAACAGGTCCATCTCCTGTTGTTCAGCGTGAAGCTCGGCGCAGAGGTGCATCTCCGAAATTCTTCCGTGGGCGCGAAGAAGTGATCGTGTGGTTCTCCATTCTGGCCCGAGCCCGGCGAGGACAAGTGTCACGAAGCTTTCTTCAGTGATTGTTCCTCCGCACCGAAGCAGGCGGTCGCGGAGGGTCTGGCAGCGACTCATATACTGCATCGCCTTTTCCCCGGTCTTCATCTGTATTGTTGTCAGTGTTGCATGAGTCTGCTTTGTGTCACGCTGTCGTTTGCTTGATAAAGGCACTTGAGATGATGCCATGCGAGTTCCGCGGAGTTTCCATAACTCCGATATGTTCTGATGCTCTGCTGTTCTTGTGGTGACAGGTTTCCGCAGGAGACTGTATACGCCAGCAGCGACTGATACGTGAAGATCTCTTGTTCCTTTCCAGTGCCGTTGCTTGGGAATGGCAGGGACCCGTTGAAGTATCCCAGAAGATGCGCGGCCTCCATCAGCAGCTCGAACTCGAAGCTCCAGGTAAAGAAGTCGTGTCCGTTGAACGGTGAGGATGTTGTAACTTATAACGTGTGAGAATGCGCCTGAAGACTTAGAATCTCGTTTGGTGTTTGTTGTGATGCAGCTGCTGTTGGTTGGGCGCGGGGCGGCATGAACTCGAACGTCCCCGGTGAAGAATGATAAGGCGCAAAGGTAGGCGCTTGGTTGTGTCGCCCGAAG